GCCAGTGTCACGGCGGGGTTGGCGTGGGCACCGCTGGTCTTCCACGTGACCTGCACCACCATGGCTGTGGCCAGGTTGAAGGTGATGGCAATCTGTAGCACGGAGGGCAGCGCAGAGGGCCAGCGCATGGCTGCACCCACGCCAAAGAACACATACAGCCCCGTGGCCAGGAACTCAGCAAACAGCGCCCGGCTGGCGGCTGTGCGGAACACGCTGGCCAGCCTCAGGGCCGGTCCACATGCCCCCAGCTCCATGCCTCAGCCGTGGCACTCCCACTTCCTCTCCTCACGGGTCCCCTCTGACTCTGCCTGCCTCTAGTTTTGCTCACTGCCTGCTTGCCGCTCCCCAGCACCTGCCACTGTTCTCTGGAAGGTCCTGGACCCATGGGGGCACAGGTTATGTATGCCTGGGTGGGTGGTGTCAGGTGTCTGCTCCTCCCTGGGCTCCGCTTGGAGGGATGGGGGCCAGGGTGGGGGGTGGAATGAAGGGCACACCGCTGGGCGCCCAGCTGGAACCATCCAGGAAGTTTTTCAGGCCTGGCTGAGCCCGGCTCGTGCCACAGGTCGACGGCCTGCCTGAGACCTGCAGGCCAGTGCAGGGGCGCTCAACTGATTCCTCCCCCTGGTCCCAAGGGCTCGTGTCCGAGCCCCCACCTGACCTCCAGGCTGTGCCTGCCTCACCCCAGCTGTGGAGGCTTTGGGCCGTGGGCCTGGGCAGCATGCAGGCAGAACCTCCAGGGGCCTTTGTTTCTGCCCCTTTCTGCCCTTTCTGTGGGGGACTGGGAGTGGCTTGCCCGCCTGCGCAGCCGTGCGTGGCTCAGCCACGTGCCCAGCGCCCTCCTCTACCCCAGCAGAGAGAAGACCGCAGGGCTGTAGGAACAGCCACCTCTGGGGGCTGACCTCGCCTCACCCATGCCCGCCCGCCCATGGCTGTGCCCGGCTTTGTCCTGAGGTTCCACACAGTCTCAAATGGGGTGCTTCTCTCTGCCCTCACCCTCTGCACTCCTGTCCTGCCCTCCCACCCAGCAGGTGGCATGGGAAGCTTTCGGGACCCTGTGCACCCTCTTCTCATCACCCCTGCCACCCTGCAGCCTTGTACCAGCCTCTCCTCTCCCTTGCTCCGCTCCAATCAATTCTCCACGCTGCAGCCCAAGTAATCTGTCTAAAATGCAAATCTGATCCTGCTGCTCCCTGGCTAAAATCCCTTCAAAGCCTCCATCCCTCTGGAAGCGCAGGCCGGGCTTACAAGGCCTTCTGGGGGATCCTTCGCCCCCCCCCCCCCGCTCTCCCTTCCCTTCTGGTCTTCCCAGTGAACACCAGCAGGGGTCTCCCCTCTTCTTGGACCTCGTCTACTCCAGCCTAGGGCTCTGCTTTCCTGACAAAGGACTCCCATTTGGGGCACTGCAGCCACCATGGAGGATTGCCCCCGTGATCATGTGTCCCTGGCATCTCTGTGCAGCCTCACACAGGGCCTGGCCACAATGAACGCTCGGCAAGCGTGAGCTGAATGAAGTGGTGTGACTCCGGAAGGAGAGTGTTGGCTTCTTAAGTGTGATCCTCTTATTTTCTTCAATTCTTTGCTAGAGATGCAGAGAGCGCTTACTCAAATACCCACACCTGCTGGGGCTCAACTGGCCAAGCCAGGAGCCAGGAGCCAGGAGCTCCATCCGGGTCTCCCATGGAGCCATCACTGGCCACCTTGCAGGTTCTGCGTTATCAGGAAGCTGTAGTCAGGGGCCAGTGTGGCCATCAGGCCTGGGGGGGGGGTCTGCCATGGGATGCCAGCATCTTGTTTGGATTCGGAATACCTGGCCCTCACCCTGACTCTGCCATGCTCCCGCCGGGGCCCGAGCCCTCTGAGCCCTTCAAAGGAGACACCCAACAGGTGCTCTGTTTGTGCCCTATCCAGGGTGAGGCCAGCCTTTTGCCCACCCTCCTGAGTTCCTCCGGCTGTCCTGGCTCCACTGCACCTTGCTCAGAGACCCCATGGGCTTCCCCTGGCAAGTGTGCCCGACAGAATCACACCTCCCCGGCCAGCCTGGATCTGCATGGCCTCATCAGGGGAGCAGCTCTGCTCAGCGACCCTTGCACCATCCCCAGCTGGTTCCCTATCCTTTTTCCCTCCTTCCCACCCCTCAAGGGTGCTGTTTGCTTTAGTAACCGAGAGGTCCTTGGGCTCCCCTGACCACATGGATAGCTTGGCAACCAGGCCTTCCTTCCCAGCCACAAACCCATCCACAGTCCAGGGTCTGAGCCACTGTGCTGAGGTCTGGCCCTTCCTCCTGCTCTGCCCTCTGGGCCCCGTCTCATCATGGCACCTGTGGCAGGCATGGCCATCTCCTGCCCCTTCCATCTCCCTGACCTCTGCCACTGCTCCGCCACTCGCTGTAACCTGGACAAGTGCTTGCACACTTCCCTTGAGTGTGTGTGTGGCAGCCTGTCCCGTGCCTGTGACCACCTCTGGTGGCTTTGCACAAACAGTGGGCACTCGGCACTACCTCTGACCGGTTAACCACGCCTCTGTGCAACAACCGTCAGCGGCTCCCTGCTGGTTGGGGGACAAGCCTGGATTTACCCCCCTACCCAGCCAGTCCCTTTGGCTCCAGGCAGGCCAGCCAATGGACAGTGCCCTGCAAAAGTGCTTTAGGCCTCTGCATGCTGAGTTTTGAATGTCTTAAGATGTCTCAATTGCAACACCTCTGTGAAGCCCCTCCATACCGGGCTGTGGGCCTAGGCTGGCAGAGGCAGGGAAATTCCTGATCTACATGCTCCAGGCCCTGAGTGTCCAGTACACCGGCAGCCCTGGTCCCCAACTCACCTGCTCGGGCCCCACCTGGCCTGGGACAAGGTCCTTCAAGCCCTCGGGCCGGGCTCCAACCCTGGCTCACCCACCCTGGTCAACCCCAGGCTCTGGCACTGGGAGTGGAATTCACAGAGCTTTTCCAGGCCCCACACACGCTGCCCTCGACCCACTGACCACCTTGGGCCCTGGGAGCGGAACTTGGCAGGAGGTCCACAGGTGACTGGAAGGTGGCATTAATCTCAAAGCAGGCAAAGACGGGAAGGTCAGCCGTGCCCACCCGCACTGGTTACTGAGTGCAGCCCTGACAGATCTGCCCCCCAGCGCCCCTGCCTGTGCCTCCTCCCTCTCTCCATTACTGCTCCACTTCTGCTGTCTGCCGGGTAGAAGTTAACACCCTTGGGAACAGGTGGACAGAAAGGTGGGGGGGCGCCTGTAGGGCTCTGCCTTTAGATGCAGCCGAGGGTCAGCCAAGGGGGCTGTCCTGCGTGCTTCTGAGCACCGCAGGTGGGCATCCCTGAAGGTTGTTGCATGGCTCCGAGCCCCGCACACGAGCAGGATCGACACGCGCCGCTGTGCACGCGTCTCCGCACTCGGAGCCCAGACACGAAGGCCGCGGTGCCTCCTGCTGGCCACCCAGCGCAGCGGCGTGTCCGCCCGCATCCCAGGCAGCGCCGTGAGCTAAGAGGTCACCTGCGGGAGGCAGGATGTGTCCCCCGGCAGCCCACTGCTCGCCCCGGTGCATTCCCTGGGTCCTGACAGAGGCAGGGACAGGCTCCCCACGTCGCAGACCTTACTGTACCTGGGTCTCACTCAGGCTGAGAGGGAAGGGCTCGCCCACCTCCACCCCCAGGGGCGCGCTGTCCACTGCCGGCCCCAGGCACCCGAACCCGAGGTGCTGCGTGTGTCGGCGCGCACCCGGAGCCGCCGCGGTGTGCATTCGGTGGACGAGGGCCCCCTCTGCTGGCCAGTGCTGGCCCTGGCAGCCGGCGCCCCATCGGTGGGCACCGCGGGGCAGGCTCTCCCATCACTCAGGGTAAAGAGGGAACTTGGAGGAAGGCTGACTCTCTGCCCCTGGCACCCGCGGCTCTGCCCCTGACCCTGCCACCACTCAAGTGCGGACCGGCGGCGGCAAGAGCCAGGAGCTCAGCTTCGAGCGCTGGAAAGGTCTCTCGGCAGGTGCCTGTGCGCGCACCAGCTCTCAGCTCCTACCCCTGCCATCCTTATCTTCTCTCCAAAACCCATGACGGGAGTGAAAGTCCTTTCATTAGACAGGGAGGTCATGAAAGCTCAGCGCTCCTGTTGCTCAAAGCTGCACGGAAAGCTTTCAATTTGGGTGGATAGAGAGCCAGATCAGTGCGGTTAAGCGTCGGATGGCCACGTGGGAAGCCTGGCCTAGCTAGGCCATTGCAGTCATCTGAAGAGTGAACCAACAGATGGAAGATCTGTTACTCAGCTACCTTTCAAAAAAAAAAATTAGTCTTCAGAAACCAAGACTTGAACGTGGGCTGTGGACTCCACGGGGCCTCCTTAACCAGGCCGCGGGGGCTGTGTGCTGAGCGACACAGGAGTGACACTTCTGCCCTTTGTCTTGCTGGCAGGTGGCCATGCTCTCATGTCCCCCGCTGCTCCAAGGGTCATCCTGGAAGGGCATTCTCTACCTCCACCTTGCAGACCAGGAGGTGCACGCAGGGTAAGAACAAGGGCAGGCAGGACAGGGGGGCCCAGTATAGGCTGCGAGGGGGCTGGGGGCCACGCTCTGTGCAGGAAGCTCACAGCTGGGGCCACTGCCTCCTGGAGGTGCAGACAGGTGAGCCCAGGACTTGGCCATTGCTCCGTTGCTAAGTGACAGCAACTGGCCGGTCACCCCCTTGGCATCTCGAGGGGCTCCTCCACCCTGCTGGCACACCCTGGTCTTGACAGAACTGAGTGGGTGTGTGACTCAGGGAAGCCCCCTCCTGCTCCCTGCTCACTCGGGGTGCCAGTTCCACTTCTGTATTTGGTCTTCTCTGGCCTTTCTCTCCCCTCCCCTCTTTCTGCCTCAGCTTCCCCTTCTTTCTGCACCAGAGTTTGTCTGGGGGGGGGGGGTGGTCTCTTGTGTCCTGGGAGAAACCATGGTTGGAGAGGCCCTAGTGGAGGCACAGCATGAAGTCAGTGGTTTATTGGGAAGCCCCCAACCCAAACCCCAACACCCCCTCCCCTCGCACCCCTGACCAGAAATAAATAAGGTGGCACCAGTCCTCCCAGGCATCTCCAGGAGGGAGGGTCTGCCCTGGCCATTTGGGGGCTGCCTCTGGCTCCAGGTGGGGGCTGGGTGGGGGGAACGCAGCCTGCAGCCCATTGCTTCCAGGCCTGGCCTCTGTGAGCTTGGCACCTCGTGTCAGCACAGTGCGCCCTGTCCCCGAGAGACCCCGTCCCTCTAAGCTCCCAGCCCCCAGCCCCAGCCCCTAGAGCCCTGTCCACAGGTTCCTGTTGCGCAGCCCGGAGGACCAGCAGTGGGAGACGGAGACCTCTGCTCTGCCGTTTCCCCCATGTGCCTGGGGAGGAGGGGCCGCCCCCTGCCCGATGCCGGTCAGCGGCTGGTCAGCTCCAAGGTTTTCTCCCGATGGTCCTCCCAGTCCTCCTCGGGCTCGTACGTGCCCTTGACCACGGCCACACGCTCGCTGAGGCTCAAGGAGGTGGGGAACAGCAGGTAGAAGTAGAGGATGGCGGCCAGGACGGCCCCCACAATGGGGCCCACCCAGAAGACCTGTGGAGATGCGGGGTGACGGTGAGGGGCCACGGCATGGCAAGCTGCTGGCCACTCCCCACCAGGCCCTCAGAGAGGACAGACACGTCCCTCGGGAGATATCAGTGAGCACACAGAGGGCATGGATGACACACAGGTGCTCAGAGAGACAGAACACTGGACAGAGAGGGGGTGGCCAGAGTGCTCACGGAGGGACGGACCACAGGGCCCGCTGCACTCACCCAGTGAGAGGGGCTGAAGCGCTTCATGACCACGGCAGGCCCGAAGGAGCGGGCTGGGTTCATGGAGCAGCCGGTGAAGTAGATCTGGATGGGGGAGGTGGCGGTGAGTGGGTGCCAACGCCCTCCCTCCCAGCAGACCCCCCCGCTTCTCGCAGGGTCCCCGGGGGTCAGCTCCGTACCAAACCCAAGTTTCTGAGTCACAGCCTAGCCACCAACTTCTCCTTCCCCCGCCCTCAAGCTGTCCTCCCCTCTCTGTCCTCAGCTGTGGCTTGACCCTTGGCCCACTCCACCTCCCATTTAGTCCCCCTGTTGGTGCAGGCAAGGACTTGGGGGGTGCAGCTGGCAGAATCCAGTCACCCCAGATTTAGACCCTCAGCTGTGGGCCCACTGCCTACGGATCTGCCCGAAGCCACTCACCCCCACCAGGTGGCCCAGTGTGACAGACAGGCCGATGGACAGGGCCGGGGAGCCCACCGGGCTGGTGCGGCGAGAGTCGGTGGAGGCGAAGACGCAGAGCGCCAGCTGGAATGTCAGGATGAGCTCCACCACCACTGCCTGGCCGGGGGTCGTATTGTTGTTGAGCTGCAGGCAGAGAGCCAGTTAGGGCCTCATCTCCCCGGGGCGCCCCGTGCCTCAGGGCCACGGCTTGGCAAGCGGGGTGATTGGCTTCTAGGGGCACCTGGAGAGAGCCAAGTCCTGCGCATGGCACCTGGGAAGGCCACTGCTGGAGACAGGAGGTGCTTCGCAGTTTGCACAAGCCCCAAGCTCCTGGATACAGTCCCATCAGCGAGCTCTGCCCAGGCCCCAACCCCCACAAGCTGGCATTCACCCTCCCTCCTGTGGGCAGCTGCCCAGTTTGTCTGCTGCAAACTGCCCCCGGCCTCCTGCCTGTGCCTGACCCGCTGCCGGTGCCAACCTCAAACCCGTCTCTCCAGTGCGGCTGACTCACGGCTTGACAATGGTCACCGAAGTCCTCCTCTGTGTTTGATTAGTGAACCCAGTTTGCATGGGATGGTGGGGGGGTTGGCAGGGAGGGTGATGGAATCCAGGACTGTGGGGTGAGGGGGCCGGGGAAGGGGGAGCCACAGAGGCCGCAGCAGGGGCTCCCAGCGGATTCCCCACGATGCCTGCTGTGGCAGCTGGGTGACCATCCCCAGGCAAGGAACAAGGCACAAAGTTGCCAGGGTGCAAATTGCATCCCAGTGCTTGGGATATCTGATTAGATGGCAGCAGGAGGGAGTGGGCAGGACTGGGGGCCCGAGGGGCAGCAGAACGCCAGGGTGGGGCAGGAACAAAGACCGAGATGGAGAGGGGAGTTACGGCAGGCAGCTGGAGAGACCCCAGGACTGGGTGGGCAAGAAGGGCTGAGGCAGCAGGGGTGGACCCTGGCACATCTGAAAGGTGCCTTGCCAGCCTTACTCAGGGGGTCCTGCTGGCAGGACTGAGCGCCCACAGGGGGATCTCCCTGTTCCAACTGTTGTTCCATTTTCCAAATGGGGGATGTGGAGGCTTGGTCCCGAGCTGCCCCCCCCCCCCGCCCCCGGGGACCCCGTGCACTCACCGCATTGACGGCAAGGTTGCCCCTGGCGTTGAGCGGTGCCAGTCCATAGAGGATGCCCGCACCCGCGATGGCGCCCACCAGCTGCGCCGCCACGTAAAAGACGGCCCGTAGCAGCGAGATCTGGTTGCCCACGAGCAGGGCCAGGGTGATGGCCGGGTTGATGTGGCCACCGCTCACCGGTCCCAGGGCCTGAGCCAAGGTGCCAATGGCCAGGCCGAAGGCCATGGCGATCTGTAGGATGGAGGGCAGCGCCGACGGCCACTTGAGCGCAGAGCCCAGCCCAAAGAAGACAAAGATGAGGGTGGCCAGGAACTCGGCGAACACGGCCTTGAGGAAGGCCACGGAGCACACCTCTTTCTTCATGGTGGCCGCGGGCGGCCGGCGGCAGCGGCGGAGGCGGCGGCGGCGCGGGGTGGTGGCCGTCGGGGCGGCGGGGGGCTGCGGCGGGCGCTCTGCGGCGCCCTCTCCGCGGCTGGCGGCCTGGCGCGGGCCGGCCGGGGGCGCGATATATACGGGGCGGGCGGCCAGCAGCGCGGCCGCGGGGGGGCAGGAGGCGGCCCCGGCGCCCGGGGGCCAGCGCGGCGCACAGGGACGCGGCGCACACGGACGCGCCGCCGCGGGCTGGCCGCCGCCCCCTGCCCCGCGCGCACCCCCGCCGGGGCCGCGGGCCACCCCCCCGGGCCACGTGACCCAGGCGGCGGTGTAGACGGGCCCCGCGGCCGGGGTCCCGCGCATGGCGCGCCAGGGGACACCTGCCGTGCCGTCTTCCGCGGGGCACCGGGCGCCGTCTAGAGCGCTGTGGCCGGAGTCCTCCGGGCGGCTACCTCGGTTGCGCCTGTTCCTCGGCTCGTGGTCTTCGCCTTTTCTTCTCTTGGCGCTCGCGCTCCAGCTCCTCCTTTTCCTCCTGCGACCCGAGCATCCTGACCTGGCCTCACCCGCCTCCCCGGCTGGGTGATGCGGCTCCCGCAGGCCCCGCGCCACTTAGCTCACCGGCGGCCGGCGGCGGGGGCGGCGGGGCGGACCAGTCGTCGTGGGCCCGGCCCCGCGCGGCGCGGCGCGCAGGGCGCGGAGACGCGCCTGGCTGGGCGCTGAGCAATGCTCGACGCCCCGGGAGGTGGCCGGGCGAGGCGACGTTCTCGAAGGAACGGGCTCGGGACCAGCCTCGGCTGCTGCGGGCATCCCGGGGCCATCTGGCCCCAACAGGGAGCTCCCTGCGGGCGGTTGCTGGGAGCTGGTGACCAAGAGTCTCCGGTGTCCACAGGACTGGCAGGGGTGGGGGGAGGGACAGGCCGGGGCCGGGAACAGACGGGGGACCCTGGAGTGGCAGCGAGGTGCGAGGTGCGGGGAGGGCGGAAGCCCCGGCCTTGGTCTGTGCGGGGGGGGGGGGGCCCTGACACCCCCTACTCTGAATCTCAGGTTTCTTTGGCCTCACTGAGGCCTGGATTTCCTCCCTGCCTCTGGGCCCAGCCTCTTCTCCTTCCCTCCTGTGTTCGTCTTCCTCATCGCTCATGGCACCTGTGTGTCTCTGTGGAATCCCTCTGCCTCCTTGGTCCTCTTATCTCCCTTGCTCCCCCTTCCTTAGCTGCTGCAGTTTGTCCCCCTGGCTTCTCTCCCCCTCCTCGCTGTTTGTCTGTATCTCATCTTACACACTTGACTCCCTTGCATGGGGTCTTTTCCAGGCCCCCAGCCCATGGGCAGACACTGTCTCCCAGGTCCCAAGCCCTGACCCCCCCTGACCTCCTCCCTCAGGGCTCCCAGCAGCTCCAGGCCTGGCATGTGGGGAATGGGGCTGGAGGGCCCTCCAGGGCTTGCTCGCTGGAAGGGGCTGAATTCTGGGAGAGCCACTGCAGCCACCCTTGCCCCAGTGATGCTCAGACGGTGCTTGGCCCTGAAGAACTCAGCCAGGTCGCGTTCTGGTGCCTGTGGAGACCATGACTTGAGAAAGCCCCAGAGGGTGCAACACAAGCTCCTGCCCTGTTCAGGCAGAGGCCGAGGGGAGGCGCCTGAAGGAAAGCCGGCTCAGGGCTCAACTCCGTGGCAGCCAAGTGGCCAAAGAAAACAGGAGCCAAAGAAACCCCACCATTGTTCCCCGCTTTGCTCTGGTATTCCCTGCCTGCTGGCTACTCCCCCATGTCTCTCTACCTAAGGCAAGCAGTGGGCTGGCCTTTCTTCCTGCTTGTCCAGGGCCCTAGTCCCAGCAGAAAACTGGCTGGACAAAGGATTTTCTCCTGTGGCGCTTGTGGCCCAAGCTGAATGATGACATTGATGGGCCTTGGGGACAGGCTTCCACGCAGAAGAAATTGCCTTTGGTCTGCCTTCTTGCACTGTCTTTCTTCATCCTCTTGCCCCATCATTTAGAGTAGCAAGGATCCAGGGGTACTCACAGTGGGCAGGGCCACTGGGGCAGCTCCTGCCTGCCAGTGTGTTCTTTGCAGCTTGCCATTTTGTAATTCAGAATATGCTCTCCAAAACCATCACATGCAATGAGCCTCCACTGTGTGACTTCATCATGGCAAGGTCCCTTCCAAGAGGCAGCCTCAGCACTTGCTTGCCCAGAGAACCACGTGCTGCTACTCCAACTAGGGCGCTGGGAGGGAGTCTGGGAAGACCAGAGAATAAACCCCCATGGATCAAGATTACCGCAAGGGGTAGCTGAGTCTGCTCCCCAGATTGCACTCTTGCAGCTCTCCAACCACAGCGGGCAGCGCTGGAGCTCGTGTCCTGGGACTGTGTGTGCCTGGCAGCAGCAGGGGAATGCGCACCTGCAGCTGTCTTCCCTTCCTCCCTGGGTCCTGGAATTTGCCGGGAGAAGTTGAGTACTGAGGGGTAGATGTGGCAGGAAACTCAGCTGGCTTCCTGGGTCGTACTGACCATTTCCAGGCGGGGGGTGGGGGGCGGGGGAAGAAATGACATGTGCTAGCAAAGGAGCATTTATTGAGTGCTTGCTACACAGAGCACTGGTAGGAAAGACCCAGGAGGTTAGGTCACCCGAGAACCGGACGTTGCCCTGCTCCCAAAGGGCTTACAGTCTAGCTGGGGGCATAGCATATGTATATACACAACATCACAGTTTAAATTCACGAAGCAACATCTGCAGGTGCAAAGTCTTGTAGTTCAAAGTGGGCCCGTGGAGGTGGGTGCTGCTGGGACCCTGGGGTCAGCCGCCTCCTTCTCTCAGCTCAGCGCCTCCTGTGTCCCTGGCTTGGGGACCTGACACCCTGTCCACCTGCCTCCGCCCTGCCCTGCCCTGCCCCTGCCTGCTCTGGGGTGTGTCTGGCCTCCACCTTCCTCCATACTGAGTGCCCTTCAAGAGCTGAAACCAGCTCTGGGTTTTGATTTATTTATTTTGGTCGTGTTCTCGCTACTCTGCCACCACCCTCTCCAAGGTCCCGTGTCCCCCACAAGACATGGGCTGGGCTGAACAAGCCCAGCTTGTGTTCTGTTTCTGCCTGGGGCTCCCAGGAAGTGCCTAGGTCTTACCTCAGCTGATTTAGTGCACGAGACTACACTAGGCTTTAGTGTAAGGAGACCTGAGTTACAGCCTTGGCCGCATTCTGCACCTGCTGCCTTCAGACCTGTGTCTCGGTCTGCTTTCTGACCGTCAAATATGAAGAACAATATTTGTTTTGCCTTCCTTCCTTTCAAAAGGAGGAAAAGTTATCACAGGGTATGATAAGGGAGCCTTGGAAATACTCAAACCCTTGTGTGCAGTTTTCCCAGAATTATATGACGTAACGCAGGTAGCCTTGGAAATACTCAAACCCTTGTGCGCAGTTTTCCCAGAATTATATGACCTGATGCAGGTAAGGCACCTGGTGAGGTTTACTGCTCCCCTCCCCGCACCCCCGTTTCCCTCCATTCCCAGCATTTGGAATTCTCCTTTGACCTCAACCTGGGCCAAGGTTGGAAGTGGTGAGGAGGTACAGCCCGGGAGTAGAGCAGAAGTAGAAACAAATTCTTGGTGCGTTTCAGAGAGTTTGGTGAGGGCAAGGGGTGGCCATGAGGGGCTGGGCTCACGTGGGAGGACAGTCCCAGAGGTCACACCTGTCCTGCAGAGGTGAGGCCGGGTGGCCGTCGCTAGCTATCGGGGTGGGAGGTTGGGAGAGGCCTCTGTATGGCGCATGCCAGACCCCCGAGAAAACTTGTTAAGGAAAACAGGAGAAAGCGTGGGCGAGGGGATGTGCTACTGGACCTGGCCCTTCCGCATGGGCTGGAGGGGAGGAAGGGGCCAGAGGTGGGAGCCTGGTGCATGATGGGACAGAGGCAGCAGAAGCCTTGCAAACCTAGAGAATTTCGAGACGCAGGCTCAGGGAGTGCCCGTCAGGCTGGCTCTGTGGCGGGCTGTCCCAGGGAGGTGCCTGGGCCCAGGTGGGTGGTGGCAGGCAGGGAGGGGGTGGGTGGAAGGGCCGTCGATGCGTGGCCTGGTCAAGGAGAGGTGAGGAGGCAAGGTCTGCCTAGACCTTGGGACTCCCCTTGGCTTTGACCTCCATGGCGAGTTAGGGGAGCCTGAGGGTCAGGCTCCTTCTGTGTCCTCCCCCCAGGAAGCAGAAATAATGAAAATGAGCCTAATAACGCGTGATAATGGCATTAGGAATTACAGCTCACACAGCCTCTTACATGCATCATCTCACCTAATCCCACATAATCGCATTTGAGAACCACTGCACTGGCCCGGAAACTCAGAGGCCCCGGGTTCTCGGCCCCAGCCCTGCCTCTGCCTGTCCACAGTGGCCGTACAGGGCCGGGAGCCGCAGCCGGGTGGGAAGAGAGGCCCCTACGAGGAGAATCTGCGGGGATGGAGGGGGGGAAAGTGGTCGGGTGGTGAACAGGTGGTGCCTGGTGCCCGTGGCTACATGCCTTGCCCAGTCAACCAGAGGTGTGTGCTGGGCAAGAGGGCTCACTTGCGAAACTGCGTGTCTCCTTTCAAGAAGTGTCTAGTTGCAAACCTCCCCTTTCCTAGGACAAAGCCAGGGGCCAGGGAAGGGCGTTCCCTTTCTCTGCTAAAATGGCAGCTAATCTCTGGGTCTGGGGCCCCGGGTTGAGCTGGGCCTTGCGTGCCCGCGCATAGGCCTGCTTCTTCTCCCTTTGGCGAAAGGTGGCAGCTGGGAAATCCTTGGCCACCAAGGCCTTCTCCAGGGAGCTGTCCTCTGCTGGACACTTCTTTGTCTGCAGCCCAGCAAGTCTCGGGTGCAGCTGGGATACTCTATCAGGAAGGGCAGGGTGGAGGCCCGAATCAGACCCCACCCCTCTTTTCCTTCTCTGAAGGCCGACTGGCAGGGCGGCCCCACCTTCTGCAGAAGAGGAGGATTTGCTGCAGGGGTGTGTGTGTGTGTGTGTGTGTGTGTGTTGGGGGGTAGGGTAGCAGTGAGGCTAAGGAGGGAGTGGGGAGTCTGCAGTGGCACAGGCTTGAGCCGGAGGTGCAGGGTTGAGCGTGCACCGTCACGCGGGGCAAGCCCTGAAGACATTCCCGGGCGCCCTCCTGGAGGTTTCTGTGTATTTCTGGTGTTTGCGTGTATGCGTACCTGGGTGCAGGCTTCTCGCCCACCCCTCTCCGTCCGTTGCTCCCTAACTCAGTCCCCTGAACCCCACTCCAGGGGGCCGAGGCTTGCACCGTGAACTGCAAACGACTGTCTGCCTTCCGCACTGGGGTGGACTGGAGAGCAGGGCCTACGCGGAGACAGGCACCGGGAGCCGGAGTGGGTGCTCCCTGCGGCCCCCCGATGCGCAACGCGGCGCCGGGCCGGGCGTGCAGGCGCTGTGGCTCAGGCCTTGCTGCTCCGCGGCGGGCTCTGCGGCGAGTGCAGCTCCACCGACTGCCGCCGCCGCACCTCGCGCTCCTCCCAGTCGGTGTCCGGCTCCAGCCCCTTGAGCACGGCCAGGCGCTCCGACAGGCTCTTGGCCGACGGGAAGAGCACGTAGTTGTAGAGCAGGGAGCCCAGGATGGCGCCCACCAGGGGTCCGACCCAGAAGACCTGCGGGCGAGAGGAGAGCGCTGCTGGCAGCGAGTGGATGGCAAAGGGCCCCCTCCTCCACCCTGCCATGCTTGTCCAGGAGCTGAGGGTGGGAGATTCGAGTTCCTGGGCACGAAACGCGTACCATTCCCTTCCTCTTTGTGCCTTGGTTTGCTTTCATTAAGATGGTGCCAGTACCCAGCCCTGGCTAAGGGCTGCACGGTGCCTGCCGTGTGCTCATGGACACCAGTGTAGCACGTACTGAGGTCCACGTGCTGCCCAGGGACTCTCACTTCATTTCCCCAAGAGCTGGTGAGCTAGGCCAGCTGTCACTCTCACAGGCAGGCACAGGGCAAGAAGGGGGTACCGCCAAGGAGAAGGAATGTGGAGGGCGGGGCACAGCCACCCTCCTTGCCCTGCCCTTGATCTCCCTCTGGAATGGGTGTCTAGAAAAGGGAAGGAGGCGGCGTGACTTCTGCCATTACCCAGTGGTCATCGAACTTGCCGGTGACGACGGCCGGGGCCAGGGAGCGGGCAGGGTTCATGGAACAGCCGGTGTAGTAGCACTGCAAGGACAAGAACGGTCCAAAGGAGAGGAGGGAGGTGAGACAGAGGTCAGGGAGAGCTGGGCCCTTCCTGGGCTGGACCTGCACCTGCACTGGGGGCATCTTTGCAGGGAGGGGGCTCTGTGTTCATCTGCTGCTGGAGTGAGAGCTGTGCCTATTAAGGTCCTGGGAGTCTGTGCTTCTGGGGTTCTGTGTGTGTCTCTCCAGGGAGGCTGGCCCACCAGAGCTGTGACCTACCCCCAGGAGGTGGCCCAGGGTCACGGAGAAGCCGATGGAGAGGGCAGGGGTGCCCAGGTTGTCCTCCCGGCGGTTGTCGGTGGAGGCAAAGATACAGAGCACCAGTTGCAGAGTCAGGAAGAGCTCCACGGTCACGGCCTGCCCGGCTGTCGCGTTGTTGTTGAGCTGCAGACAGAGGGGGCTGCTGGCTGAGCCTGTGCCCCTCCCACCTCCCTGCCCATCTCTGTGGAGGCCTCCCTCTGGGCTGGGAGCCAGAACCCCCAAGCTGCTCAGACACCTTAGCCCCACGAATGCCTCCCTCCTGGGCTCTGGGCCCAGGCTGAAAGGAGGAAAGCTGACTCCATGGCCCCTTAGATGCCAAAGGCATGCAGGGAGCTTGCAGTTTGCGTCTGCAGTCATGGGAACAAAAGGGAAGCTGTTTCCACGGCAGCAGGAAACTTCAGACAGGGGACAGTGGGGTGTCTTATGCTCCCTGCTCTTGAGACACTGGGGCAGCCAGAGAGAGACCTGGGGTCTCCTAGGCACAGGTCCAGGGTCTTGGGTCTGGGGCTCAGCCCCGTGTGCCCCCTCCACAGTGAGTCTTGTGGGCAGTACCATCTCCTGACCTTCACCTGCTGTGCCCTGGGGACTTGGGCCCGGCCTGCGTCAGGACACTGGAGCTGTCCACCATGATGCCCAAGGTTCCTGTGCAGTGTCCACAGTCCCAGCAGGCACCAGGAGGACTGGGGGCTGAGCAAAGAGGCAGTTTCACAAGCAGGCGGCACCCTACCTACATGGGATCTCTCCCTAGGTGCTGGTCCTGTACTTGGCCCAGCTGTGCCCTGGGTAAGGCAGAGCTGTCTGACTCTCGGCTCCCTCGCTCCTGCTCTGTCCCTGGCCTCCCACTCCAGGTCCTCAGGGGCAGGCTGGTTCTGTGGGGCGCAGGGAACAGGGCAGAGCTTTGGAAGCTGCTGACTCGTCTGATTCTTTGGGCCTCAGTGTTTCTCCTTCTGTAAAGTGGGAGCAGTGAGATGGGTTTGTGGGGACTGGCAGACAGCGGCCCTGCAGGAGAGGGTGTGCATGTGGCTTTGGTGTCAGATGGCTCTTGGCCTATTCCTGAGTGCTGTCACTTAGTGATTCTGTGATGTGGGCCTTCAGTTCATCACGTGAGGAGCTGGGAAGACCACAGCAATTGCCTCCCAGCTATGCACAAGGATGAGATGGAGTGTGGGCCGGCACGAGGCAGGTGCCTATCAACGGCGATTTCCTGGTGACCAGGCTGGCTCTCCCAGAGGACACTGGGTCAGCCTCCAGGCAGGTCCAGCCACAGGTCAGCCAGTGTCCCCAGAGACGGACCCTGAGGAGTTGACAGGAGACTTCCAGACCCTTTCGTGTTGCACTGTGCCATCCCCACACTCAGCTGCAGAACAATGGAGGAGCAAGGCAGGGGTCCCCATGGAGGAGGAAGGCTTGGCAGTGCTTTCAGGAAGTTCCTCCTCCTGTCTAACTAGGCCTCTCCCTGCTGTGGACTGAGCTGTTCTCTGCGGAAACAGGTACCTTCTGTCAGCCTGTTGCCCTGGCTGCCCTGGCCTTAGCCTCCCCCCAGCATCACCATACTTCTCACCTCTTCCTGCAGCCCCTTCTCCCCTCCATGCCCCAGATGTGCGGAAGGTCCCTCTGTGTGGAGGAGGGTGGGCGTGGAGAGGTGGTGCTCCTAGGCAGTGGCCTGGGAATGAGGCAGGCCAGGAACGGTGGAGGACACTGAGGCACGAACGGGGTCCGGCTGGAGGTGGAGGTGCTGACTGAGCCTTGTGCTGAGCGAGGGATGCTCTCAGTCCTACCCCCTCCACACCTGTCAGACAAGGGGGAGCTCCTGTGTGCATACCTTGGCTCTGCTGCTGCGCCGTGTAGGACCTGGCAAGTCTTACCCCTGGAGGGTTGATAGTTTTCTCTTGGACATAGACCAACCCTGGGGCCTTCGGCTGGCACCTCCCTTTCCCTGATCCTCAAACTGCTCAGGTGTTTTGTATGTGGGCATGGGTTCAAGGGCTGACTTGCTGTGTCCCCACTGGCCTGGCTGAAGGTGTGCTTCCTCCTGGGCTGTGTGTTCAGAAGGCACCACTGTCCCAGGAACCTGTGCCCTGCAGAGTTGCAGCTTGCTCCTGCTGGAGCAGGGCCAGCAGAGGCCAGCGGAGACCAGTGGAAGCCAACCCAACACACCACTCCTCCTCCTGGTCGTCAGGGCACAGGGCAGCCCCTCTGCGTCCTGCCATTGCTCCCTCCCTTGCTTCTCCTAGGGCTGCCTCACTCTGTCTCTCTCTACCAGTCCTCTGCCCACCCCATCCACCCCCTCTGCGCTACTCACCGCGTTGACAGCCAGGTCCCCGCGGATATTGGGCGGCGTGATCTCGTGGAGCAGAGCGGCCCCCGCCACAGCCCCCAGCAGCTGGGCCGCCACGTAGAAGACTGCACGCAGAAAGGAGACGTGGCAGCCCACCAGGCAGGCCACAGTCACGGCAGGGTTGATGTGGGCCCCGCTGATGTGGCCCAGAGCCTGCACCAGCGTGCCGATGCCCAGGCCGAAGGCCACGGCGATCTGCAGCACGGAGGGCAGCATCGATGGCCAGTTGAGGGCCGAGCCGAGGCCGAAGAAGACAAAGAGGAGGGTGGCCAGGAACTCGGCGAACACGGCCCTGGAGAAAGCCACGGACCGGAGCTCCCACATGCTGCGGGCCTCCGGCTCACTCGCTCGCTCCCCAGCTTGCTTGCTCCCTCGCTCCCTCGTTCTCAGGGCCTCCGTGGAAGCCGGGCCTTGGGCTTATGTAGAATCCATCCGTCCGGGTGCGGGCACGTGCCTCTGCCCCCTCCCCGCTGCTGCTGCCCACTGCAGGCCTATCACCCCATCTCGGCCTTCACAGCTGACTAATGTTCCCCATTACCCAGCTCGAGATAAGGGCTGACGTCCTCCAGTTTTCCGTGTTTGTTCCCTCGGTCACCCCAGGCCCGTTGCCCCCAGGGGCTTCCCCACCCCCATGGCAAGCTGTGCATGGGGACCCCTCAAGGAGGTTGTAACGGATAGGGGGACTCTTTTCCACTCAAGCTGGCGGGGGGGGGCATATGTAGCAATAGCAGTGAGAGATGTTGGGGTATAGGGAGGGGCTCCTCCTGCTGCCCACCCACCTCCCCTTCTCCCAAGGGATGGAAAACAGCTGCTTGGCTTGTGACACATTTCCACAGCAGAAAGGCCTGCGTCTGCCCTGTGCCTGCTTTCTTGCAGTTAATTACCCATGAGCCATTAAGCCTTGCCTCCTCCTGGAAGCCCCTTCAGCCCGCAGCCTGGAGCCAGCAGTGGCTTGGGTGGCATGGGGACACCTGGCTCTGGGTGATCATGGGGTTAGATGAGGATGTCTGTTTTAGCTCCCCTCCATCTCCCACTGGCTCCATCTCCATGTAGAATGGGGTTGGAACCCACCTCGTAGGCGGGTGATACGCAGGCACCTGGCTAGTCAGAGGCCCCATCCTCACAGCAGTTGCTCAATATTGCTTGTGCCTTTATGTGCTGAGTCCCCCGACACTCATATGAGGATGGCACTGTGAACCCTGTGGGTACTGGGGGGTGGGTGGGGGAAGAGACGCATTTCCCTGGGGCAGTGAGCTGTGTAGGCCCAGGGAGGCCAGGCTGCCCACCCCTCCCAGTGCCACCGCCTCCTGTTGGCAACTGTGGCCGATGGGTTCTGGCATTCCCTCAGGGCCTAGGAGCCCCCTAAGCTCCCCACCCCGATCACTGGGTCTCCCCAAAGCAGAGGAGGGCTGGCCCTCCGCTGGGTCCTTCTGGGCCCTGCCCCAGTCCTCGTTCGGGATCAAGGGGGGCAGCAAGGCCCAGGCAGTGTGGGCACCTGTTGGAGGTGATCCAGGAGGCGGTGGTTATGCTGGGACTAGGGCCACACCCTCGGTGACTGAGTCACATGCCAAGCCTCAGTTTCCTCACATGGATGATGGAGCAAAAACGCCTCTCCCACGAGGTTGTTCTGAGGCTGCAGCAGGATGGTGAACAGAAATTGTTTTGTGCCAGAGTACATGTAGGCACACGTGGACGTGTGACTTCTTCCCAGGAGGAAAAGGGGAGGAGCAAGGCCTGGGTAAGAAGGGAGACTCCGACAGAACAAACTCTCTGCTGTGTTTGCAGGGCCTGGAACAGTGTCGTGTGCGTGGGGACCTGGCCCTCATCCCAAAGGCTCAGGACAAGCAAACATGGGGTGTCAGGAGCCACTCCAGACCAGAGCAAGGGCCTGGAGCGATGCGGCTTGACCAGGGCTCTGCTCCCATCACTCCTTCTCTCTCAGTGCCTTCATGGGTCACTGCTTCCTAGGACCCTGGTCTGTTGTCCACTCCAGCTGGCTATAGTCAGGCGGGAGCCTTAGGGGGTCCAGGAGGAGCTGGTGTTGCAAGAATGCTACTGTGTGCCTTCAAATGAGGCACTTGCCCTTTCTGGCCTGCTCACAGTCCTGGGAGAACCTCCTCTCCCAGCCTGCTGGTAATGCTGGATGTGTGTGCCACGGCCTCTCTTGGCAGCCCTGAAGCCCACCTCCATTCTCCATGTTTGGAGGGCTCATGTGCAGTGGGTCACATGGAACACCCCCAGTAATTCAGACCCTGAGGGGTTTGTAAGAACCATCCAGCTTGCGATCCATTTCTCAGACTGGCATGTGGAATCCCCAGGACCAGGCAGCAGCAGGCAGCAGTCCAGGTCTGGCCCCTAGCCTGGTACGGCCAGCCTGGACTGCATCTCCAACTGTGTCTCGTGGTGTATCAGCTTCTGGAAATCCCTGAGCCTGTGGCCTCAGCACTCCCCTAGGGACCACTATCAGCGTCAGCAAGCAGGCCTTAGGGGACCTGGGGGCACCTGTGCAGGCCCTTGGCACCCCCATGGCTGAGGACAAAAATGCTTTCCTGAGATGGAAGCCATGAACTCTGCTTAACCGTGTGGATCTAGGGGAGGGGAGAGCTGTTGCCACCTGTGTCAGGAGTCCTGGCTGCTCTGCTTCCAATCCAACTTCCTGCCAACAGGCCAGAAAAAGCAGCAGAGGATGGCTCGTGTGTTCGAGCCCCTCCCGCTTTCACTATGCCTTGCAAAGACACCATCTTAAAACTATCATTGCCACGTGGGTGCATAACCTAGCAGAAAAGACACCGATGGCTGTGTCCATTGGAGAAGTCCTTGTTCCCCAGCCCCGGCTCCTGCCTCTGGCTTCCTGCTAACAAGGAGGCAGTGGTAAAGGCTTCAGCAGTGGGTTCCTGACAACTGGGGAGACCCGGATGGAGTTCCTGGCTCCTGGCATCAACCCCAGCCCAGTTCTGGCCCCATCTGGGGATTAAGTCAGCCGCTAGGAGCCCTCTGTCTTCGTGTCTCTCTGTCTCTCGAGTGAATACATTTTTTGTTATTGTTGTTGTTGTTTTTTCAATTAAAGTGGTTAAGATAAAATGTTTTGTGGTATGTGTATTTTTGCCATAATGAAAAAGACATAGTATTTTGAAAATTAGGAAAAAGACGGACGGCCTTCTGGCAAACTGGGTGGTCCTGGCATCCCATATGGCCAGCAGTTTGTATCCCAGCTGTACTGGTGATCCAGCTCTTTGCTCTAATGATCTGGGAAAGCAGTGCAGGATGGCCCAAGTGCTGGCCCCAACCCCTATGGGAGACCAGGATGAAGCTCCTGGCCCTGCCCTGCCCCAGCCCTGCCCCAGCCCTGGCTGCCGTGACCATCTGGGGAGTGGAACCAGCAAATAGGAAATCCATAGGAAATCCTTTCTCTCTCTCTCTCCCTCTCTAACTCTTTGAAATAAGTAAATAAATCTTAAAAAAAAAAAAAAAGAGGACCAAAAAATATACTTTTTTAAAGGTTTTATTTTCTTACACATCTAATTATTTTCATTGGAAAGGCAGATTTACAGAGAGAAGGAGAGATAGAAGAGAGATCTTCCCACAGCTAGTTCACTCCCCAAGTATCTGCAATGACCATAACTGTGTCCATCTGAAGCCAGGAACCAGGAGCTTCTTCCAGTGGCCTTGGGACATCTCCTGCTATCTTTTTTTTTTTTTAAAGACTTATTCATTTTTATTACAAAGTCAGATATACAGAGAGGAGAGACAGAGAGGAAGATCTTCCGTCCGATGATTCACTCCCCAAGTGAGCGCAACGGCTGATGCTATGCCGATCCGAAGCCAGGAGCCTCTTCCGGGTCTCCCACGCGGGTGCAGGGTCCCAAAGCTTTGGGCCGTCCTCAATTGCTTTCCCAGGCCACAAGCAGGGAGCTGGATGGGAAGTGGAGCTGCTGGGATTAGAACCGGCGCCCATATGGGATCCTGGCACGTTCGAGGCAAGGACTTTAGCCGCTAGGCCACGCTGCTGGGCCCTGAAACACTTTTTTAAAAAAATGTAACTTTAGCAGCTTTCATTTTCCTTACTGAAAGAAGTCTTTCAGATATGTTTGGAGTCAACTTTTTAATTTTAATTTGTTAAAACATATTTATTTATTTATTTATTGGAAAGATATACAGGGAGGAGAGACAGAGAGGAAGATCTTCTGTCTGATGAGTCACTCCCTGAAGCCAGGAGCCAGGAACATCCTCCAGGTCTCCCACATGGGTACAGGGTCCTAAGACCCCCGGCTGTTCTCGATTGCTTTCCCAAGCCAGAAGCAGGGAGCTGGATGGGAAGTGGAGCTGCTGGGATTAGAACTGGGGCTCATATGGGATCCCGGGCACGGTCAAGGCGAGAACTTTAGCCGCTACACCATCGTACTGGGCCCTGGAGTCAACTTTTAAAGTGTGCCTTCACAGGCAAATCACAGGCGTGACATGCTGGCTAAGCCCTAATCATGTCGCACCTGGAGCCCAGCTCTCGCAAGCCCTTCATGATTGGTGGGGTGAGGTGTGTATCCCCGCAGCCCCCCTCTGTGCCCGGCACCAGGGCTGGTGTCGCCTCCCCGCTTGGTGAGACCGCTGGTGGTTTGCCTCAGAGGCCCGCTGGGTGAACTTTCTGGCAGGTGTTCCGTAGCTTCAGTCATAAAACTGAGCGGGGCAATTTTCCCAGGTCCCATAAAACTCCAGGCAGCTGTTTTGCAAGAAAATGCGAGTAGCCACTGCTCCCAGCCAGCTGCCTGCCTCCTCGGGGGCTGGCCTGGCTCTGTGCTCCAGCTCCACACTTCTGCAGGCAGGCTGCTCTGTGCAAACACCAGACCGAACAGCCGAGCCCCTGGGAGGCCATCTTCAACAGCAGTTAAGCAGCTTACACATCCAGGAAAGAGAGGGCAGGGAACTCCTTCAGCAAAGTTTGGGTGGGCACAGCCTGGTGGAGCCTCCTCCAGAGACCAAAGGACACCTTAGAATGGCTAAAGCACAGCGGTTGCAGCCCCCAACTCGTGACCAGTGTCTGTGTGGTAATGGTGTGATGTGTCGCTGAGCTTGCATCCGTCGATGCATGCTCACATCCCCAAGGTGCTCCTGGGAGCTCAGTGTGGCGTCCTGGGCTTTAGAGATCAGGAGTGGAACACAGAAAGGGTGCAGAGCTACCCATAGGCCACCAGCTGGAAGCAGCAGGGCACAGCAAGGGTGTTGGGTGGACAGCTTCCAGAGGGCCACACATGCCATGGTCATAGCTGGACACTGATAGAGGGCCCCTGCCTCACCCGAGGTAACACAGCTGGCAAAGGGGTGAGAGAGGGA